AAAATGGCATAACACTGAAATTTGATTTAAGAATATATTAAGTAAAGCGAAGTTCACACAGCGGTTTAAATGTAATACATATAATATGACCTGCTTACGTAAAATGCATGCATTTAAATTATTGTTATATTTAATTATTGTTGAGAGAGTAATTATAAGAATAATTTAAAAAAGATTAAGAGATAAAACAGATTAAGATATTATATTAAGGGCTAAAATCAATTTTTTAATTAATTTTTATATTTAAAACAGGAAAAGTATATATTTATAAGAATTAAAAGCTCCTTTTTTTTGGGCTCAAAAAGTACATTTACATCATTAACACAACGCAAAATTGAAATTCTCCGTTGCCAACGGCGTTGTGTTCTCCCAATTACTTGTGTATGGGCCTTTGTCGTATCTTTGATTCAGGCGGACTAGGAGAGAGGAGAAAGAAGGAAAAATGTTAATAAGTTTAATTTAAAAAATTAGAAGAGTTGGGTTATAAAATTTTGACCAAAAGAAGATGTAAAATAAAATAATAAGAAAAATAATTAAAAGTTTTTAACTCTATTTTTTTATTTTTTTAAATTGAGGTCATTAAAATTTCTTCTTCCATCTCCTTTCCTCTATCTTGCTCATACCAAATGCAACTTTAATTAATTGGCAGTTTCATTTTGCACATAACGTTTCTCTTGGTTAATTTCACATTTCCGAGTTTATTTACTATTCATTCTAATTGGTTTTTTTTTTAATATTATCATCGAGTATCCACTATCGAGTGCTTTTTCTGGATTATATTATAAGGTATCGTAACAATCGACTAATTAAATTATTTATTATATATTTTATTTCACATTAAATGAATCATGAATTATAAATTTTTTTAACACAAAACTAAATTCACACTCACAATATATCCACACCTTCCGGCGAACAACAATCATTTTCAGATAAGAGACTTCCCCGTGCACATAACATCCGTACACCAACCATGGGCTCATTAAAATAAAGATGAATCGTTAATAGTAAAACGCTTAAGCTGGAAACATATTTCATCATGTGGAATTATTACTATATATTCCTCCGATCCTTGATATAGAACTAAATTATTAAATTGATTTTGGTCCAAAATATAAGACTTATTTCTTATTTTTATCAATTTTTTCTAAATATAAATATTCTCTCAATCATAATCAAGTAGGAGAGAGAGAGATGATATTATTAAGAAAGATGATTATGGTGTTTTAGAAAAAGTATGTTATATTTTTTATAATTAACTAACTTACCTAACTTTCTTAATATAATCAAATCAGTTAAATAGGTTTTATATTAAAGATCAGACGAGTATATCATTTTTCCTCAATATTAATAATCGCCGGCTGTTGTTCCAAAAATTATTGCTTTTGATTAATATATGACTTCAATGAGACTCTTTTTTTAAAAAAAAAAAATTGAAATCAGCTTTGTGAAATTCAATTAGTAGGTTGCAAGTTTTAGAATTTGATTGTTAATGGTAATATTAGTTGGCAACAAGTAACTTGAGCGAAAAGAAGGGGAGAACAATGATTGAGAACCCTAATTTCTGGCAGAGGTGGAGGAGCATCTTTCCTTTCTGTAATATCATTACTTATCGGTTTGCCTTTTGCCTTTATGGTTACGCCGTTTTAAAAATAAAATTTAATTAATTATTTAATATTTATTCGGGGATGCAGCCTGGGTCGTGTTTCCCGCCATCATTGTGTTGCGCCATCACTTTTGCAAATTTCTTGAGTATTTAAATTTAAAAATGGAAATAGATAGATAACATTGATATTAAGGCCCTGTTTGGATGTCCTTCCAAACTATGGTTTGGAGAAGAAACCAGCTAAACAGGAACAAAAAATGTGAAACTATGGTTTGGGGTCAAACCATGGTTTTGGACCCCAAAACCATGGTTTCGGTAGAAGTGGTCTGAAGTTACTTCTGGCTCAAATTTTCCAGACGTTGGTGTGGGCCCAACAACATATAACAAAACAGTCTCCATAATTGATGCATCACTCTTCATTCCACACTCGGTTCTTCACTATTTAATCTTATAATTTATAAATATATATACACATATTAATTATTATTAGTTATATTATTTTATATATTATTAATTGTGTTAGTAAAAATTATTTTATTAACAATTTTATTTCTTCAGATAAAAAATATATTATAAAATCTATCCCTTATATAATTATCATATTAATTTATGTCATTTTTAGTAATTTGCACATGTAAAAAGTGCTTCTAGTAACAACTATCCAAACACTCTCACTTCTCAGAATCACTTTTTCATAAAATATATTCTCTCTAGAAACTATTCTCCAAACCATGGTTTGGTTTCATTCAAACACTCCCTAATTTTACTTGACATGACCGAATGGCCCACGGACGCAAAAACCCGACAAGTGCCATTGGCTTGCGTCTACGTAACTTTTTAATTGTGATATTTAGAATAGTAGTATAATATAAATACTACCTCCGGTCTTTAATATAAGACCCCGTTTGACTTTTTGTTTAGTCCTAATTATAAGACCCCAATCCATTTTGTCTCTTATATTTATGTATTTTTTTTCAAAATAGTCCTTCTAATAATGATAGTTCTAACCAATACACTTAATTAGCAAGGACATTTTAGGAATAACAACACTTATTTATTACAAATAACTAACTTAACTTACTTCCTTAATCTCCTCAAATAAGTCAACTGTGTCTTATAATTAGGACCGGGGGTAGTATATATGATAAGAATTTTATCTTGATTTAAGTGAAATATATTTATAGATGATTTTAAAAATATTCTAAATGGGTCCTAAGCCTGAAATTATATTTGAACATTAATTTGCATTATGTGAGGAACTAGTTCCTTATACTAAATCGAAAGTTTGTTATTAGATATAGGTATTCTCTTATTAAAAATAATCATATTTGAAACACTATCGAACATCTAGTATGGATATTTTTTTTTAATAGAGATTCGGATCTTAACCCGCTATGTCATAAGTAACTAGCTATTTCGCTAGAGATCGCTAGACCCAACTCTTTGGTTGCATTATTTACAGCTTGGTTAGAGATTGATGAACTAATATCATGATCGGCTGTAACATTTGTTCGTACAAAAAAAAAAAGGCTACAATGCTTCGCCGAATTAAAATATGGGCCGAATTGTTGTGTTATAGATTTCTTTTGGGCTTCTTAGCCCCATAGTTATGCCCAAAAATGCCCGAACCAGGCACCGTTACCCTCTTCTTCCCCAGGTAGCCAATCTATTACCAATTTAACGATTTGACTTTCAAAATCAATGATATTTTTTGGGCCAAATTTGAATAAATGATAAAGACCTTGCGATATAATCCGTTGACAGTATTTTTTGTCGCAATAAAATAAATGGTTAACTTTTGACCACACAAAAAAAATGATCAAGGGTTCAATTTCTAATCTTTGTACATGGATGTATCCGTAAAAACTTTTGCTTTGGAAAAGAAAAGCTTTTTTGGGACAAAAGGCTCATTTTCACCGACGGATTTTAGAACGACTAGCATGAAAAATAGATTAAGAAATAAAAGCAACACTAATTATCCAATTAGCAAATTTGACTCCAAAAAAGTTTTCAAGTAGGGTTTTTATGACAGGCTTTACGTTTTTATTAGAAGAACTAATTAATTAATTTAAGTAAATTAATAATATTTGTTAAATTAGTTATTTGTAATAAATATAAATTAATTTTTTAAAATATCTTTTTAATCATAACTACCTTTGAATGAAAACTTCCTTAACATGTGTAATCAATAGGGTTACTTTTAAAAATTAATTACAAATTTAGAAGACAAAATGGATTGTGCTATCATATTTAGGACCAAATACAATTTCTGACTAACTCTTATATTAATGACTGAATGTAGTATATATTATTTACTCATATTAAAATTCAATTGCAATTTTAAAATATTATATGTCAAATACAACGAAATACTATTTTTTTATTTAAATAGTACACATTCTCTGTCTCACTTAAGGCGAGGATATTTTGTAGGCAAAAACCAAAAAAAGTTAAAGATATTATGTGTTTTTGTCTTTTGAACTTTTTTTTCCCCCACAGACACGCGTGCGTTATATATTTTGCTTTTCAAAAAAGATCAGGGCGGCAGGATTGAATTGAATTAAATAATGAGAAAAATATGAGGTGACGAAAGAAACAAAGCGGTGGCCAAAAAAAAAAAAAAACCAGAGAAGCAGAAGCGAAGCTCTCTTACTTGAGCAACAAGCCAGGCTGACTTCATAATCACAACCTTGTTGGCTTTGGCCCGGGTCCTCCGCCATCGTCGTTTCTAGATGACAGCGATTCCATTTTTAATTTTCTAACCATAAAGCTCCCAATACTTTTTATTTTGACCACATTAAATCTCAATACTTATGCTCTGCACTTATGCCTTTTTATTTATTTCCATAAAATATATAGCCGCTTCAAATATTAATATACTTACCCTTTTTAATTTTTCTCCCTAAATTGAAAAATACATAGCTAGAGTTTTTTTAATCATTTATATAAAAATTAACCATTCACAAATAACAACTAACAAATGTGTTTGTCAAGCGTGTCGCTTCCCTGAAAGGAAATAACTAATGATATAATAATCTTTGAAACTCGAAGCAAAACTAGTGGTGGAATTGATTCCAACGAGATCCTTGTGGGAGTCACGTGTGAGTCATGAGGATCTGACACGTGTACAGAAGAAAAAGGACCTCTAATAAATTACAAAAACGAAAGTTCAAAGAGGAGGTCAGTGATCTCAGGGCTCACCTCACAGCCGCGTTCCCAACTTGCTTGGAGAAACCCTCGCATTTTCGACGGCGGACACACCCGCCGTACAAACCCCTCACCTTCTTCTTCTCTTTCTTCCCCCCTTCTCTCACTACTATCTCCGCCAGCTCCTCTACATTCCCAGAAACCTACTGATCACCCATTGAGGTAACTCTCAATTCTGTTCTTGTTTACAGGTCATTTTTTCCTCTTGCAGCTGCATTGCTTTTGTGGGTTACCCGAGAGTTCGTTGGTTATTTTGCTGTTAAAAAGACGGCTCAAGTCATACGAGACTCTGTAGCAATTCTATGATATTTCTGTAATTTAGGCGGTCCAGACAGTAACTACAAAATAATTACATGATTGATGGGTCGTGTTTCTCATGATTTTTCATGCCTTTTTTGTTTTTAATTCAAGCCGGTATCTTTTTCGGTTTTTCCTTCTGTTTTTATTTTCGGTCTCTTGTTTCTTATGATAAAATTTTTGGACCAGGCATAATAGTCTGTTGATATCGTGGATAAGTTGTATCTGTAGGACCCTTTTTTTTTTCCCAAAATCGTGACTAAAGCGAATAAAAGGGACCCTGCAGGGGAGAGGACAATCAGGAGATATGAAGAATTGAGACATTAGTTGTGACGCTTTAAGTTTATTTAGCATTGGGTTTGAATTAGTGGAACCTACAGTCAAGGAGCTATTCCCTTACAATTGCTATTAAATAACTGGCTCACGTCTGAAGTGGTTATATGTTATAGCCATTACCATATAGGGTTTCTCCTCCGTTGTTACTCGTCTTTCTGGATGAATATCGGACTGTGAGACAATTGTCATAAAAGCTGTTCATTATTTTATTGTATTTAGGGCATGATTAGATGGAGTGAAAATGAGCATGTTGAAAAACGGAGAGGTCAAATATGGACATTGTTTAAATTCCTTATCTTCACTTCGAACAAACACATCCTCAGGCTTGCCATTTTAATTAAATTTTCAACTTAAATGGCAGCTGATTTTCTTTGTACAGTAGGTGTAAATATAATTTACACATTGTAACCAGTTCTCAGGTGGTGTAGGTGCCTGGATTCTGTACTTCATCATTATATACAAATACAACTGTCTAAAGGAAGTCATTATAGCATAAAAATTCAGATTCAAAGTTTTAGTAGTAGGCAAGTGGCACTTGAAATGGTTGATATGTTGCTTGCTTGCTGCCATTTATGGTAATTTTGCCTCTTTCTGCTTATTCTGTACCCGTTGGCTTGCTGCATCCATTTTCAGTTTGTTTCATAGTTAGGAGCTATTCAGCTTTATTTGCAGATATGATACGGGCAAAGCAGATCAGTACCCTTTCAAGTGGTGCTAGGAGTTTTCTTATAGGAGGTTCCCGCTGCAGTGCTGCTGATGGAAGTACCAGCACTTGTTCAGAGGATGAAACATTTGTGTCCAGAAGAGAGCAGACAAAAAATGAAGTTTTACTTGCACAGAAGCCATCTGCCTTAGCGACCCAAACAGCATCTGGAGTAGGAAGAACCTTGGTTTCAGGAGACTCTGTGAACGGACTTGTTTCTCGTAGTGTTGAGGGTGTCTATCAATCAGGTTGCGCACCAAAAACTGTGTCCACTCCGAGTCCATCACAAAAATCAGATTCTGTAACATATGCTTGTGTTGCTGATGATGCTCAAACGCATGCTGCACACACATCTCCTTTTAATGCTGACCAGGTTTTTAGGGCGGGCATTGCGGCTGTCAACTTTCTTTCTGATATCGCTAATTATAAGCTTCCTTTATTGGATGGGAATCATGGGACAGGAATATTAAACTACTCCAAAAACTGTATGGTTGATACCACCAAGAGCCTACCCAGTATCAGATCCTCGAATGGGAAACACATTAAAAAGGAGGCTTTTGCTAATGTTCATCCGAAGCCTTCTGTTTCTTCTGATGTTGGATCGAACCGTACAAGTAATTATCATGGTACAAAGGGACATGGTGATAAATCAAATTTATCTAAAGGCATAAAGCATTTTCCTTCAGGAACACGTAAGGCAGTGGTCACTTCAAAACCTGCTGTATATAGCCATGTCCAAGGAGATGTATCACAGAGAACAAGAACCCTTCCAAACCGACTTGTGAAAAATTCTGTTTCCAACATGCAAACTTCAGATCCACAGTTTGTGCGATCAATTAGCAAGGGTTTAAACAAACACCCTGAGAATTGGAGAACACCTACAGGAATTCCTCAAACAAGTCAGCATTTTTCAAACACAGGGCGTGTTGTAGAAGTGGTTTTAGATGTACTGCAGAAGCTAAAGTGGAGTCCTGCTGCAGAGAAGGCTCTTTATAACCTAAATTGTTCATTGGATGCATATCAGGCTAACCAGATCATGAAGCAACTTCAAGACTACTCTGTTGCTCTTGGCTTTTTTTATTGGTTAAAGCGACAACCAGGGTTCAAGCATGATGATCATACTTATACCACTATGGTTGGCATCCTGGGCCGTGCCAGACAGTTTGGCACGATAAACAAATTACTAGAACAGATGGTCAGCGAAGGATGCAAGCCCAATGTTGTAACTTATAATCGAATGATACACAACTATGGCCGTGCAAACTGCCTGAAGGAAGCACTCAATGTGTTCAATCAAATGCAGGAGGAGAAATGTGAACCTGACCGCGTCACTTACTGCACACTTATTGATATCCATGCAAAAGCGGGATATCTTGAAATTGCCATGGCCATGTATGAAAGGATGCAACAAGCTGGTCTTTCACCTGACACCTTTACCTATAGTGTCATGATTAATTGCCTTGGAAAATCTGGCAATTTAACAGCTGCCCACAGGCTATTTTGTGAGATGGTTAATCAGGGCTGTATTCCTAATCTGGTAACCTACAATATAATGATTGCTTTGCAAGCTAAAGCTAGGAACTATCAGATAGCATTACAATTATTTCGTGACATGAAAAATGCTGGATATGAACCTGATAAAGTGACTTACAGCATAGTCATGGAGGCGCTTGGCCACTGTGGGTATCTGGAGGAAGCTGAAGCGATTTTTGCTGAGATGAAATGGAAAAATTGGGTGCCAGATGAACCTGTTTATGGTCTTTTAGTAGACTTGTGGGGAAAGGCTGGTAATGTTGAGAAGGCTTGGGCATGGTATCAAGAGATGGTAAATGCAGGTTTGCAGCCAAATGTACCAACTTGCAATTCCCTTCTCAGTGCATTCCTTAGGGTGCATCGGTTGCCAGATGCATATAATCTTCTGCAGAGCATGGTTGCTCGAGGCCTACGGCCCTCGTTGCAGACTTATACCTTGCTTCTCAGTTGTTGTACAGAAGCACGTTCATCATACGATATGGGGTTTTGTTGTGAGCTTTTGGCAGTTACCGGCCATCCTGCACATTCATTTTTACTGTCTATGCCAGCAGCAGGACCTGATGGTCAAAACGTGCGGGATCATGCAGGCAAATTCTTAGATCTGATGCATGCTGAGGATAGAGAGAGCAAAAGGGGACTTGTAGATGCAGTGGTGAATTTTCTTCACAAGTCTGGGCTTAAAGAGGAGGCTGGTTCCATTTGGGAGGTGGCTTCGCAGAAGAATGTGTACCCAGATGCTGTCAAGGAGAAAAGTTCTTGCTACTGGCTTATAAATCTCCATGTTATGTCTGATGGAACTGCTGTGACAGCATTGTCTAGGATACTTGCTTCGATTCGGCGAAAGATGCTGACATATGGGACTAGTCCTAACCGGATTGACATTGTCACCGGATGGGGTCGCAGGAGCCGAGTCACCGGTTCTTCTCTTGTGAGGCAGGCGGTGCAAGAACTATTACATGTGTTTAGTTTTCCATTCTTTATTGAAAAAGGCAATTCAGGGTGTTTTGTGGGTTGTGGGGAGCCTCTTAGTAAATGGTTGGTCCATTCTTATGTGGAAAGGATGCACTTGCTGTAGTATCTGTTCTAGAAATTGAGCCATTATCTTAAGCTTGTAGATTTTTTTTTTTTTTGGGGAGAGTGAGCATGGAGTTAGTCTTGCATTTATCTAAGTTAAGCTCTTCCGTAAAGTTCACGTACGACGTATGCCTATATGATTTGCGAAGCATATAGAAGAACCTATAAGAATTAAGAGCCAATAAACATATTGCAGAAGAGGAAAGAAGAGGTGCGGAATGTAGAAAATAAGTGGCAAATTTTTCTCCAAGTCTTTTTCTCCAAATATGCCCCCAATAGGTTCTTAATCCCAATTTTCCCATTTGAAGAACTAAAGATGTTTTTTAGAAATTTTTGGATATGTACATTATTTATAACAATTTTTTCTATTGAATAGTAGGGACTAGACTAATATAATTGAGGTAATTTGGTTAAAGAGGCTGTTTTGCCGGCTTATGAATTTTGGATAGTTAAAAACAAATCTTTTTTTTTTTTTTGGTGCAACCCAAAAGAAATGGTTCTTTTGTGCCTGATTTTAGAAATATTTCAATATAATATTTTCATGAGGTGGCAAATTCTCGTTTGTTTAGAGAGTTGAGACGATGTAATTTGTACACGGTGTCCGCAACAAAAGCGTGCGTTATATTTTTGCGTGGGTATCAAATGCAAGGAATTTTGTTTTTGATGAGAGGAATTTAAATTTATATGATAAAAATTTCAATTTAAAATTGCGTTTTATAAATTTTGTAGTGTAGTTTTGGGCTTGGGCCCCGTTCCTCTACCCAAGCAAAATAGCATGGCTGAATATAGAGGAAACGCAAAGCCCCCCCAAAAAAAAAAGATTATAGAGGAAACGCAGTGATTATGTTTGTTTTGCTACAGTAAAGCATGAAAATTATCCTTTTTTTTTATTATAACAGAAGCGGCGTTATGAAAATTTATTCTGTTTATATATATTTTTAAAGAAAAATGGTATTAGAATGGGAAAGAATAAAAAAAATCAAATCTTTATTTAAAAATAAAATAAATAACCGATAATAGTAACACATGCTTGTGGCCCAAAAAAAAAAAACAGCATAATTCATTTTACATATCCAGGCATGTTATTTATCCGATTTTTTATTATCAAATATCAAACATATTACCCAAAAAAAATCAAACATATTAAAAGTGATAATTATCTTCTTTTTTTCTTGGATACGGTTATTGCTTGTGTTGTGATACCTCTCATTATCTTCATTGTTTCTGTGAAAATTTCATCGAAGAGTAATCTATAAATACATGTCTTGACCTGGTAAATATTTTAGCCCCATGTTATCTGAATTTTTTATAATAATAATAATTAAAAAACTTGACTGTCCCTTTCAGGGAGAAAACGGGCCCAAATTTGTCAATGTTGTAGATTATTGGATAATCTATGAGTGAACATGACAGTTTCGTCTTTCATTTGCAATTCAGAAGACAAGTAGCACACGATAACCACGAAGCATAGGTTTTAATAAAAGGTATACTTGATATTATGATATATTACTTTTGGTCCTAATTATAAGAGCTAGTTGACTAATTTGAGGAGATTAAAAAAAAGTTAAATTAGTTATTTGTAATAAATAATGTTGTCTTTCCTAGAATATTCTTACCAATGAAATGTATTAGCTATAACTACTATTGTTAGGAGGATTATCTTAAAAAATATATAAATATGAGAAACAAAATGGATTGGGATCTTATATTTAAGACCAAAATAAAAGTCAAACAAGGTCTTATATTAAGGACCAGAGGTAGTACTATATACTACCTCTGGTCCTAATTATAAGAGCTAGTTGACTAATTTGAGGATATTAAGAAAGTAAGTTGAGTTAATTATTTGTCTTAAATAAGTGTTATCTTTTCTAAAATATCCTTGCTAATCAATAGTATTAGCTAGAACTATTATTGTTAGAAGGACCACTTTAAAAAAAATGTATAAATATGAGATACAAAGTAGATTAGGGTCTCATATTTAGAATTAGGATAAAAGTCAAATAAGGTATTATATTAAGGACCGGAGGTAATATATACACTACATCTTGTTTTTAGTGTAAGCTCTAATTAACTAATTTGAAAAGATTAAGAAAATTACAAAATTACTTTAAAATTTTTATATGTATTTTTTTTATTCAAATTAATTTGCTTCACTTATAAATTGTTATATAATCTAATAATTCACGTAAGTATTTTAGAAAGATAATGTAATATATAGTATAATTAAGTAATTTAATAGTTTTTTTATTCTCCTAAAATAAATTAACTGGTCTTATACTAAAGATATGAACTAATATATTGTAATTGATTTGGTCTACATCCATGCATATGCTTGCTGTTGTTGTAAAGACAAAAAGTTGATATATTTGTAAATACTTGATCTCTCCTTTTGTTCCAACTATAGAAACTTCTTAAGGTCTTTGATTTATCCCAAAAACATAGAAATGCTTCTGTTTCTCTCAAATGCATTTCCTTGGCATCTAATGTGGAAGCACCTGCAAATAAGGTACAAGTATTTGATCCATTCGCTGATTCTGTAGCCTAAGAAACAACGAAACAAACCCAATCCATGAACCAAACACAGATTATTCCATGTGGAAGAAACAGGATTTATTTGTATACTACTGTGTGTGTTCACCCATCATTATATTATATTATAGTACTACCTCCAGTCTTAATGATAAGATCCAGTTGACTAATTTGAGGAGATTAAAGAAGTAAGCTGAGTTAGTTAGTTGTCCTAAATAGGTGTTGTCTTTTCTAAAATATCCTTACTAATCAAGTGTATTGACTAGAATGATAATTGTTAGAAGAGCTACTTTGGAAAAAAATGTATAAATATGAGAGACAAAGTGAATTGGGGTCTTATATTTAGAACAAAAATAAAAGTTAAATAGGGTCTTATATTAAGGACCGGAGGTAGTATCACCAATTCTTAATATAAAAACTAATTTAATATTTAATTTAATTATAAATGTAAGACTTCAATTTACTTTATCTATTATATTTTTTTAAAGATAATCTTTGTAGTAGTTGTACATGTTAAATATTTCATCAAATGGTAGTTCTAGCTAATACACAAAACTAACAAGAGTATTTTAGGAAAGACAACATATATTTATTACAAATAACTAATTTAAATAATTTTTTAATCTACTTAAATTAATTGACTAGATTTTACATTGAGAAAATGAGGTAGTCCTTGGTTAAAAAGGAAAAAGAAAAAAAAAACTAATACTTCAAAACAATGTGGGTTAAGGTGTAATTTTAACTCCAATCTTACTTTTTAGATGCAATTTTGCCCATAATTTTTTTAGTAATGCAATTTTGACTTTGATCTCTCTTTTTTTATGCCATTTTACCCCTGAGGGGCAAAATTGCACCTAAAGATCATAGGCAAAATTGCATCCGAGAAAAAAAGATTAAAAATAAAATTACATTTGAGAAATAAGATCAAAAGCAGAATTGTACTATTAAAAGATTAGGAGCAAAATTAGGCCTGAGAAATAAGATACATTTTAACCCAAACGATGTTGCCATGTTTTGCACCAAAGGAACAGGCAGCAACATTACGTGTCAAAAATTTGAAAAGCAATGTGACAAAACCACGTTGCACAAAAAGAGGCCACAGTATACAGCAACCGTGAAAAGGACTATCACACATTCTCAACACATAAAGAACCAACCCCCAAGCATTTCGCTCTCTCTCTTCTTTCTGGTCTTTTACTCAGTCTTTCCCTTACCCAGCAGATCCGCATATTAACATCAGCTCCCTCTTTTCACATCAAAATGCTTCCTTTCTCACTCCCTTCAATCCCTTTCCTCCCTCTTCATCCTCTCTTTCCCAAATATCTGCCTTCATCATTCTTTGGTTGCTTCATCAATCCGCGGGATTCATTGAGAATTATTTGAATGTGGTGGAAATATGACCCTTAAGGGTGGCACAACCCAGGCTTGTGCAGCTTGTAAATTCCAGAGAAGAAAGTGCACATCTGAATGTCTTCTTGCCCCATATTTCCCAGCAGATCAACCCAAGATGTTTCAGAATGTGCACAAGCTATTTGGAGTGAGCAATATTAAAAAGATGTTAAAGAAATTGGATCCTGCCCGGAAGAAAATAGCCATGGATTCCATCATTTTCCAAGCAAATATAAGGGACAAGTACCCTGTTCATGGTTGCTGGGAGGAAATTTGCAGGCTCCGTTACCAGATATGGCGGGTGGAAGAGGAGCTACATGCTGTTCATCAGCAGCTTGAGATTTGCAGGCAGCATTACCAGCAACATCTTGATCATCATCTTCCTGAGGATCATGTGGCTTCTCAACTAGAGTTGGGCATGACACCCTGTTCTAATGGCCTCCAACTGCTTGATCACATGCTTCAACCGCAAGATTACAACAATAAAGTGGCTGCATCTTTGCCTATCTCTCAGCAGCAGCAACATTCTTTCTCAAATAGCAATAATGAGGCTTATAATAATTCCCTTTACATTGATCACAAGGATAGCGTCCCCAGTCATTTGTGGGTTGAGCAACCATATGGTGATAACAGTAGTAGTTCCATGGCAATGCAGTCTCAATTGGATGCCTCACAGCAGCCACTAGTCATTCAAGAAGGAGAAGTTGTTGAAGATTATGATGAGATGCATCCATTTTTTGATACTATTGATGATAGACAATCATACGTTTATTCTCAGGAGGCTTATGAGTCAAGGTACACATATGTTGATAACCTTCTTTTTACATCAGAGACTAATGTCAGTCTTTTGCATATTGGGATTGTAAAAATCTGAAACAAATTAATGATCACATTTGATTCTGTGCATATCTGCCTGCAGTTCTGAAGAATCGTTGAAAGATACGCCAAAGTGCACCGAACATGTTGCTGAGAATGAATTGAAGAATGCTGCTGCATGCTTTAGTCTTACCAGTGTCAGCTGATCAATTAATGAGGCGACAGTCCCCAACCCAATTCTTTCCCCAGGATAAATAGAAATACAAATATTGATCTTTTTGTTTATTGTTGAGTTTTTAATTTTAAACCTTTCACTTGTCAGTTTATAAAGTAAGAAAATCTATCCATCGTCCATCACAATGCGAGGGCATGTTCCATACATAAATATAACAGCAATTTGATGTTCATGGGACAACGTACTTTGGCCTCAAAATTCAATAAATCTGTTTGGTGTCTGATTCTGATATGTTTTTGTGACTAAATGCAGATAGTTTACACAAATCAATCTATTGAATTTAAGATCATTTCAAGTGTTATGACTGATAACAGGTTACAGGAAGAAAATAAATCATTTGAGAAGAAATGTGCTTGCTCAGAAAGAAAGAGGAAGTGGGGGACTTGATCTAGCAGAAGGTTTGAAACATTTCTTGAGAACCCCTTATATTCCTCAAAACTATCCCACCAGGTATACTAAAATTAGCGTTTGATAATTTGCCTATCTAAATGCAAACATTTATATAATGTCTCTAAGATTTCATGACTAAATTTTCACAGGTTGTTTTACCAGCTCGTGATCCTAAATATAAGATTAAGTGCCAACCCAAGTGCATTATCTGCTTTAGAAAATATATATTCTATTGATTTTGCATGCTGATGATGGATAGATATGTCTGTGTATATATACTCCTTCTGATTTTGTTCATAAAACCCTAACTTTTGGTGCTTAATACAAGATTCCTTACAAATTTTACAGAAACATTTGTGACTCAATTCAAAAAGTGCCCTTGTTTATTCATTTCCACTCCCTCTACATCCATGAACTATGCTAAATAACTTTAAAGGATAATTTTGAAAATTTTAAAAAATTTATGTTTAACTAATTCTGACAATTTTCATTAATGTCACAAAAGTAACTGAGTATAATTGTTCTAAATATAAGAACTCCATAGATAATTCATGAAGATTAAAAAATTAATTTAGTTATTTGTAAACTATGTGTATTAGTTGGCCGATTTTGCTAGGGTATTTTCTTTAATAATTTGTACTGTAAATTTTCCTTTTGATATATATATATATATATATCTTGATTTGCGTAATTAACAAGGATAGTTTACAAAAATTATGCATTTGAGAGACAGGTTAATATTTTATATATATTATCAAAACAAATTTCAAGAAATTTAGACGTCTTTTACTTTCCCTATGAAACATCCGGTTTTCATTTTTGAGACCTCACCGATTTTCACTAACTTCGTCTTGATAAAGAAGACGTACTTCCTTCTGTTCATAAAAAGTCTCACTCTTAAATACGTTTCAGAATAAGTGCAGTTTTACAATTGATTTTTTTTTTTAGCAAAATCTCTCGTTAAAAAGTTTATTGACGCTCCGTGAAATCGATTTAAGGACCCAAATCCATTGCAGAAATAAAGTTTGACTTAAAATGGGAATTTGTTTTTTTCAATAAAACTGTAAACTTGCCCGTGGTGAAATAAGATTGGAAAAAAAATGAAATTTTTTCATGAAAAGTTGCACTTATGCTGTGAAAAAAAAAGGATAACCCAATGCTGTGTATGACTTGATAAACCATTTTTTTTTCTTGAAAATGTAAATGCATATTTTGAAATTTATGTGTAAAATGGAATTTTTACTAATAATGTTACAATTTTGTCCTAAAAACTCGTTAAATACGAACACAAAAATAGTTGCGTATCATGCTGGAAGCCTTTTTTTTTTTTTTTGCACACCTTGAAATTTGCTTGCACACGTTGCACCAGAGAGGGAACATGGAAGATACTTGCACATCACTAAAGCTTTCTACAAAAAAAAAAAAACGAACTTGTAAAATTAGTTAACAAAAATTCAATTTTTTATGTTCCTCTGTATTTAGTTTTCTTACTTAAGATTCTTAATACTGTTGTTAATTTGCTGAGGAAAAATACAGGAAGGGGAAGGATTTGGGTCGAGTCTGCCGAAAAAATTGTGGGGAAACAACTGTTCTGAATTGGTGGGTCTTTATAAGAATTGGTAAAGACCCAACTTTTTAAGAGTTGAGACGTCTAATGAACCAAGTCTTGGAATTTATTTATTTTTTTTGCTAAGTTTTTTTTTTGGGCCAACCTTGGAATGTGTTTACTACTTTCTAAAATTCTAAAAACTCTTAAAGGCAACATGTTTTTAACCCTGAAAACAAAAAGCAGCATGTTTGGTTTCTCAGCGAAACATGTTACAAACGGGCGTTTACAAGCCCACATGTAGAAGCAACGAGGCCCGTTGTTTATCCATTTCGCAGCCACCCGGTGATCTTTTTTTTTTTTTGATACAAAAAAGTTTAGGTGAGTTGGGTCCCGGGGGCTCACCAGGGCCAGGGTATGGCTCCAGGCTCAAAGAGCGCTTACAGAGGTACTGACAGATCGCCACCAACAAGGTCCTCACATCGGCAGCGGGATTCGAACTCACGACCTTGTGGGTTATGAGTCGACTCCTTACCAACTGGACCAACTCTTGTTGTTTTACCAAGAGTGTGTTTGAGATGGAGCCGGGAAAACGGGCCGAGCCCATCGGGCTGGTCCATTTAGGCCCTGAAATTATAAGGGTCGGGCTTGATATTTTTTCCTTCAAATGGGAAATAAGCCTTTTTATTTTTTTTTGTTTTTTAAATTTTTTTATATAATTCTAATATTATCAATTTTTTACATTGTTAATAATATTTTAAATATTTAGTTATTATTATCATTTTAAAATTAAATTTAGTGTTAGGTAATAATTTATCCAATTAAATTTTTAAAAAATGTGTTAATTTGGACTTTAATAATGATTTGATTTATATTATATGCGTTGATATTTTTAAACTATATATATATATTTGATAATAGAGTATTTTTATACTTATATAACTTGTGATTCTATAATTTGAATTAGAAATTCATGAGTTTCAACAACAATGTTTCTCACATTAAAGTAAAATAAGAACTAGATTGTACAATTTAAAAGTAAAATTCTATAAAGAAGAAAAATTTAATATTTTTGTTATGAAAGAAAAGCATACTTATGAAGAAGAGTAATTAATTATAGTGATGATGAAGTTTCAAAAGATTAATGATAGTGTTTATTTATTACACAATTGCACTATAGATAAAACTTTTGCATGTTGTTATCTTGTTAATTGATTTTTTAGATATTCTTGGATGTTGATGGATATTTATATATGATGATATTTTATATTTGTGACTTAATTTTATTCATATTTATGTCTTTTTTTAATAATTTCATTGGTTTATTTTTATTTTTTTATAAAAGTTATGATAAATATAAAAAATAGTATTTTTTTTTCAAACGAGCCAAAAGCCCGCGGGCCGGCCCTGAGCCCTGTGGCTTAAGGGCCGGGCCTAGCAAATTAAGGTATTTTTGAAACTCCAGCCTTGGAGGGCCGGCCCTGATTCCCAGCTCCAGTTTGAGATAGTAGTGACAGAAATAATTTTTTTTAATTTGATTTTTACAGAAGTCAGATTGAGTAAAAACAGTTTCTTTGAGCCTATTGCATAAGTTCGTTTCAGTGACAGAAGTTAGATACACAAAACGTGAATCCAAACATAATTTTTCAACATCTCTGTTACTTCTTCGTTTGGGATGCACGTTTAGGCCTCCAAACGTGATCCCAAACACTCCTTAAATTGAATTTAGTGAAAAAAGTCAGTTCTTATTATATGATAAATCAACGTTTAAATTCTTGACATGCTTGCATTTAATGTCTAACGGTGCATTAGACATGACCGAGTTCTCATGAAAGTTTATAGAATGAAGATGCAGACATATGCAAAGATTTATTGTCTTTTAATTTTGTGCAAAATAATGAAAACATGTCCACTTAACTAGATTAATCCTATTATCAACAGAGTTGAGTCTATAAGAAGGAATCAATATCTTATGACATGACGAGCCAACATTCAAATCTTTTGTTAGAAAAAGTATCTATATTTAATGTTCACAATACTTTGAATATGATTGACTCCAATATGAAAAGGTATGTGCTTAGGAAGAAAAAAAGATTAATTTAATTTGTGACAAATGAGATTGTTTTCAATAGGAAGATACCTATACTTTAGAAAAAAAAATTGTGGCAAATATACATGTGCATTGCTAGTATACATGGAGAAGAAATAATGAGGGGGGCAAAATAAGTGAAGATGGGTCAGGAGGAAGGGGCAGGTAGAAAATAATAACAAGAACAAATAATGGAGGGCATAGATGCGATGATGGACGCCGGGAAAAGATGGGCGAGATTGAGAGTGAGAGAGAATAATTGTTGAGGCAGAAATGAATGAATGTCTGATTGAGATTCTGATGTCACGTGAATGCCTCCAAGTCCTTTCTTACAATTTTGCTGCTGCTGCTGCTGCCTGCCTAGTTTCTATTTCCGACAATTTTACCGAATTCGGCATGGCCTTCAATCCTCTTCCTCTCTCATCTGTGCCTCAAACTAATCCCAAGACTCCAAGAGGATACGTTGGGTGGGAGAAGAACGAGAAAAATAAAAAATGGCATCTTTCTTTAAGACTCTGCCAAGATAGAAAGAAAAGTTGAGAAGAAAAAAAAATAAGAGTAAAAAAAATAAAGAGAAGAAAAAAATAGAGGAAAGTTGTTATCATCTTATTTGGATGGATGAGAGAAAATAGAGAGAAAAAAAGTTAGCAAATATTTAAATGACTAAAATATTCTTATCAAAATATATCATAATTTAAAATTAAATTAAATTAAATATTGTAATAGAAAAATTATACTAAGATTAGTATTATCAAATAATTTAAAATCAAATTATTTGGTTTATATATATTTTCAGATTATTATATTTTAAAACCAGATTATTTAATAAAAATATTGTTTTAAGATAAAAAATAAAAAGTGAATAAATTTTTAAATATAATAGAAGAAAATTAAATATAGAGAGAAAGAGAGAGGAGGGGCAGTTATGGAAATCTTGTTTTCCTTCCCAAATCTCTCCATGTATGGAGAGAAAATTGGGAGAGAAAATGAGGCATGAGACCGCTTTATTTTCTCTTCTACTTTTCCTTCCTCTCACATTTTCTTCCCTATCCAAACAAGAGAAAACTTGTTTCTCCTTATACTTTTCTCTCTAGTTTTCTTTCCTCCATAATTTTCTTTCAATCCAAGCAAGGGGTAAAAGAAGATATTATTGGCTATTGCTTCTTTTTTGAATGACCGTTATTGATCTTTCAGCCTAAATCTTCCATGAATATTTACACTTCTCAGCTCTTTCTTCCCCCTTTTGGTGTCAACGAGACAGAAATTCTTTAGTTAATGCTGATATTTAAAATTATTAATATTATCTTGAAATTTTTAAATTTGATCTCATTTTAATTTTTTTTAAATTGAACTTATTTTGATTTTGGTTTTTGAAATTTAAAATTAATGATTTTTTAAAAAAATGATATTGGTCCATTTTTATCCAATAAACTTGTAGATGAATAGTTTTTTTTACATGTGTATTTAAAATATTATTTTAGCCAGCTTATAAATTAAAATTTGGAAAAATTAAATAAATAAGTTTGCATAGGTAAAAATTTTAAAAATATGACTAACAATTTTAATAATACATGCATTACATTATTTTTTGTGTTGTAAATAATTCTTAAATAACATTTATGGTAAAGAGGAGTGTATTGATTCAGAATATGTAACTTAATAGGGCAATGCAATAGGCGGGTTGGGTAGCTCAACAGTATGCCCGCAGTCCACTCATTTAAGATCAAATGGGTAAGGATAGCCTGTACTTATACAGAGCCTATTTAAGCCTATTACAAATGAGTTTCCCTTAAATAAACGAGTTTTCATGGGTTCCTGACTAGCTTGTTTAATTGAAGCTTTTTTCCCCCCTGTTAGACAGTATTACAACAAACAAGAACTAGCAGAGAATCTAGGTATTCTCATAATGATAATCATATTAAACAGGAAAATAATAAGGAAAATACTCAAGCAATAATAATCATTAACCATGATGGCAAAGGATCCGTACACGTAAAGTTTTCCATCAAGAAGTTCTGTCTCTTGATTAATTTGAGCCAGTGTTTTCGGCACAAATGTAATATGATGTGTATTGAAAAGTTGAGGAAAATACTTCTCAGAAAATCCAAATAATATGTTTTCTAATTTATAAATGAAATTGTTTGGATGAGTTTTGGAAATATGCAATAGACTTGCATTTATGAACTCTTGAGATAAATTTTAACTTGAAGTCACCTAATTTATTCTTAATGCATCTCTAATAAGAATTAAATTATATTGGTTACTGATTAACTGAAGGAGGGTAATATACCTGCACCTTCATTTCATCTTTTGCTACATTACTAATATATTTGATCATAAACTAGATAGAAATAAACAAAAATTAAAAAAAATTATGTGTAAATAGGTGGACAGGGGCAGCCATGCTTTTACCTCTTACCTATCCATATTCCATATAACCTGTTTAGGTTTGTTCGTTTCGGGCTCTTAATGAACGGTTTAAACGGCTTAAAAAATATGAGTAGTGGGCAGATCGTGCAGGTAGTGGATAGCTTGCTCACCCCTAAATTTAATAATCAATTAATGATTAGCTAGATGAAAATTGAATTTTAAAAGGAAAAGCAATGTACTAGTGTGTATTAGCACTCGTACACTTCTATTGATTTTAGGGGAGATTTGGGATTTTTGTAATTAAGATAAAATAAAGGGTAATAAGTGTACTTTGCTCACAATTTTCCTTGTCATTGCATTTTGTGTCGCTGTGGGTGCGTTTAGGCAAAAAGCCAAAAACCATATATCCGTGCAATACTGGGCAATTCCAGTTTAAACTTTAAAATATTTGTGGCAATCATTGAAGATGTTGGCATTGGAAATGAATTAACTTGCCCAGATGGGGCCCAGCGCCGGAAGGTGAATCATTCGTGATCATCGCACGACCCCGCTGTTGATAAACCCCGGCGGAGTTCGACGGCGCTACATGATTGGGATGGCCAAGTTGGGGACGAATTCCATTAACTCCTGGATAAGTGGACGCCCCAAATTCTATATATACCCGAAATTTTCCATCAAAATTCCACACCAACAGCGTCAGCAAGGAAATTCAAAGATTTTTGGTTGACCACCGACCTTCAAAATCTCCACAAATCCATCGAAGCAATAAAAAATGGAGTGGTTGACCAATCGATGGGTGGCTGCTGCTGCTAGCATATGGATTCAATGGAGCTGTGGTGCATCCTATACCTTCAGCATCTACTCTCCTGTTCTCAAATCCACTCAGGGCTATGACCAATCCACACTCGACACCGTCTCTGTTTTCAAAGATATCGGCGCTAACTTTGGCATCCTCTCCGGCTTGTTGTTCTCCGCCGTCACACCGTACGGTCCCCCTCGAGCTTCCCATTCGAAATCGAAATGGAGATCGTTGGGTGGTCCGTGGGTGGTGCATGCGGCCGGCGCCATTCAGTGTTTTGTTGGTTTCATCTTCCTCTGGGCGGCGGTTGTCGGTTTGATCGGTCGGCCACCCGTGGCTGTTATGTGCTTCTTCGCTTGGTTGGGTTCTAATGGCCAGACTTTCTTGAACACAACGAATGTGGTCACAGGCTTGCGCAATTTCCCCGAGTATAGCGGCACTATCGTGGGCATCATGAAGGTTTTTTTTCTTCCCTTCTTCTTGATATTTTGAGATTATTAATTTGAGTTTTCTGGGCTCATTGCGGACTGGTCGTTGTTGAATTGCTGCTGTCTTTGGCTATTGTCAAGTGGAACGCAGTTTAGAACTTTAGATGATATCGCTTGAATATATATAATAAACCTTTACAGACTTGTCAAATCCCCTTCTGACGAAATTGTTACCTGCTTCTTCTATCTCAAATGATTCTCTGCAATTTCTTTAGTTAAATTTACTGCACGTTAACAAGTTCTGCTTTAACATGCTCTGTTTCGTTTTAGCTAGCAAGTTCATCTACTACCCAAATCCTAAGCTCAACTGGCATCTCACTTATCTTCCCATTACGATGACAGAAAACTAATGTCTCTAATCATATTTCTTGATGTACTGCTTATCGGGTGAATATCACCTTTTTCTTTCCTCCCTTAGTCACTTTTGATGGAGGCGTAGTTTGATGATTCAATGCATGCCTAAGTTCCTGAACGGTTGTGCTTCTTTTGATAACATGCATTACAGAAACTTCACGAAGCCCTTAAGTTTTGCCATATGCTATTTACTTAGTGTAATCCTGAGAAAAATATTATGCCTTTTTTCTTTAACCAGGGATTTCTGGGACTTAGTGGAGCTATCCTGATCCAAATGTATCACACTTTTTGTGACGGCGACCCAACCACCTACCTCCTGATGCTTGCTTGCCTACCTACATTCATCTGCCTATCGTTAATGTTTTTAGTGAGGATTTATGAAGCGCATGATGGTGATTACGAGAGGCAATTCAATGGTTTCTTTGTTGTTACCCTGACTATTGTTGCTTATCTCATGTTGATTATAGTTTTACAAAACATCCTCATATTTCCGTCTTGGGCACGTATTTTCACTTTTGTAATCCTGATTGTTCTACTAGCATCACCCTTTGGAATTGCTACCAAAGCCCATTGGGAGGACTCGCGGAGGTTTTTGCAAAACTGCTCACTTGAGAGATGTCCTCCTTTAACAAACATCCCTAAGTTAATTACATCCTCCAGTCATCTGCCAGCAGGGGATAATATGGAATATCAGGAGCTACCTAGTGATGAGAGGCGGTTACAGTCAACTTCAGATGATATGCTTCCTGGTGAAGAAGAAAAGAACCTCTTGCGTGCCATGTGCACTGTTGAATTTTGGATGTTGTTTATAACAATGATATCTGGGTTGGGCTCTGGATTGGCAACGATAAACAACATGAGCCAAATAGGGCAATCTCTTGGCTACAGTATTGTTGAGATCAATAATTTGGTGTCATTGTGGAGCATGTGGAATTTTCTGGGCCGTTTTGGAGGAGGCTATGTTTCGGATTATATCATGCACAGAAAAGGTTGGCCAAGGCCCTTGTTAATGGCAGCAACTCTGGGAGTTATGATTCTTGGACATTTAATCATAGCTTCTGGATTCCGAGGAAATTTATATTTGGGTCCGGTCCTTGTGGGCATCTGTTATGGTGCAAATTGGTCATTGATGCCCACAATCACTTCCGAAATATTTGGTGTAAAGCACATGGGTACCATTTTTAATACCATTGCTGCGGCAAGTCCGCTTGGATCTTATATACTCTCGGTGAGGGTTGTTGGATATATTTACGACAAGCATGCCAGTACGGAAGATAACTCATGCTTTGGCATCCACTGTTTCATGTCATCTTTTCTGATCCTGGCAGCTGTGACTTTTATTACCTTTTTGGTTGGTCTGGCTCTATATTTCCGGACTAGAAGATTCTATGAGCTAGTTGTTCTCAGAAGGTTACGACATTCTTCAAAATAACTAAGAATGTATTTGCCAGCATTTGAGAATCAGGTAGAGGCTGAGAAAATCACTCTCGTGTCTTTCCTAAATGCAGAAATGTGCTGTAATCTTCTAGGGGTTTGTCTGTTAGACTGAAATGAGATGTGTGTTCTATGTATTACATTTGTGATGTTATCAAATAAAAAGAAGACAAGTCGTTTGTTTGTCAGTTTTAGATGTTCATCGACCACTGTCTTGTCTTTGATTAGTGAGCATGGATTTTGAGTTGGCTTTGTTATTCTGCATCTCTTTCTTGTCTTACTTTGCCTTCCTATTCAAGGGGAAGATAGTTTGTACTTAAAAAAAAAAAAATCATTCTTAGCCAATCAGTTAGTAGTTAGTACTGTGCTTAAGATGACTGTTATACAACCAGGGGTTTGTAAAATGAAAAAGCATAATATTTTTGAAATGTAAAAGGAGTACAACAAGCTTAAGAAGAGAATTAACTAGATTTGAACACCATCTGATGTCACACACTTGTTCAAATGCAAGCAGGAATGATTCAAGGGAAAAGAGATAGAAACAGAGAGAACTTATGGGGGAGAGAGGTGCAGAAACGGAGAAGAAGGGAGGGAGAAACAGAGGCAGAAGGGAGAAACAACCACAATGGAGGGGGCAGAGAACAGAAACTGAATGGAGCATGAGAAAGTTGAGGGGGAAGTGTGGGGAAGCCGAAGCAGGGAGAGGGATGGTGAGATCACATCTTAAAAAAATTCATTCATCAAGTCTGCAGTACATATGCAAAGATTTCTTTCATATCAAGTAATTTTGATGGGAACTTGCTGATAAAATATAAAGCAAAATTAAAATTTGGCTTTCTTAGCTAGAATGAAACTAGATGACAACTTGCTATTGTAATAAAAACACCCACTTGCTAACTTAAAATATAAGGTTAAGGTGCATCTAGTATCTAAAGTATTTTCTTAAGTGCATCTGCATCCAGGACTCAAAAAAGTTCTTGCTCTATCTTAACCCTAAAATATATAAGATAGGTAAATTTGTTTTACCATAAATATAAGATATAAGATAAATTGATTTCTTTTTATACGAAGTTTTCTTAAAATATATAATTTTATATTCCATTACTATCTCCACCATCAATGGTCAAGTCCTTGTAAAGCTCAAATCTTGAGATATATGTGTTGGCTCATTGGTTAGTGGTTACTGTCTCCCGTGTCAGTTTTTTTTTTTTTTTGTGGAAAAGAAAAGAGGTGTGTTTTTAGTACTAGTATAAATCTACTAAGCCAGCCTTTTTATTGTCTTTTTCTGTTTTTTTGGCCTGATTTTTAATTTTTATTGTCTTTTTCACGCCCCTTTACATCACATACGAACTTTTGCCATTACCTTCATCTTTCTTCTTTACAATGAAGTCCATAACTAAGCATACAAATTGTAACATAATTAACTATTTCCAATATTTCAAGAGCAAGGTAAACAAAAAAATAGTAATAAAGTTCAAATGAAGCTAGGGGTGTTCATCAAGCCCGCTAGCCCGATATGCCCGTCCGAGCCCGCAAGAAAATGGCCCTGCCCAACCCGAAAAAAAACAGCCCAAAGAAAAATGGGCATTTTTGGGCTGGGCATATTATGGGCAGGGCTGGGCTGCGGGCATGGTATGCTGCCCTGCCCATTTGGCCCTGCTCGTGATATATATATATATAATTCTTTTTTTATACCAGAAATATTTATAATGATATATAATATATAATAATATATATTATTCTCTCCTCTTCCATTTGCCATAGATATATTTAGTGGTATGCGTAATTCTTCCTTCTTAGTATCTTTTTAATTTGGTTTAGTATCTTTTAGTTTGTTTTTATTGTTGGTTGTCTTGCAAAGATGCAAAAGCAAGCTCACTTTAGTGTTGTATTAAAAGATATATCAATTTAAAACAAATCAAAGTTATTGATTTGTTGAATTTATTGTTTATTCAAGTATTTATTTCTTTATAGTTGTTATATAATACCTTTAACTAAAAAATTTTTCACCAAGATATCACTATTTGGGCTTGGAAGCCCGCCCTGCCCAGCCCATTATTGCCCAGCCCGAAAATGGCTAGGGCTTCTGTGGGCAGGGCAGGGCAGCGGGCCGCAAAATGCAGCCCGCTCATTTTTCGGGCCGGGCATCGGGCAGGGGGCATGCCCTGCCCAACCCTGCCCATGAACACCCCTAAATGAAGCTATTCTAAAGACAATAAAATTAAAGTTAATTAACTAATATAAAAATTTCTAGCCCTTTATAGGAAAAAAGCATATGTAAGACTTCAAGAATGAGTTAAGGTGTATCTAATATCTCAAAATATTTCTTAGTACATCCAATACCTCAAAATATTTTCTAAGTGCTTTCCACACTCTGAATTTTTTTTTTTTTGCTTTGGTGCTAGATGTCCCAAAAAACATTTTTAGATGCTGGACGTATCTAAAAATATATTTTAGAGTATTGGATGTATCAAAAAATATTGTGCACCTAAGAAAATATTTTAAAATGCTAGATGCACCTTAACCCTTTCAAAAATTAGCTTTATATAACACTCCTATATGTATTGGCAAGATTATTTATTGTAATTCTAGACAGAAAAGAGGTGTATTGCTTGGGTAAATCCACTAGGCCATTTTTTTAAAAAAATTACACTAAGCCATTATCTTCACCTTCTTCATTTTTTTTAAACTAAAAAAGCTCAAATCCTTGCAAAGATAATTCACATATTTGGGATAGAATGGAGTATAAATTTTTGTTGAAAAAAAGCATGAATGGTGTGACTTGTTAACAGTTTTGTACTAAATAATTTTTTTGGATCATATTTGGGAATGTGTCTGCCATCTAAAAATAAATAATTTCTTTTAATTATTTTGTACTCTGCGCTGAACAAATGTGGTCCTAATCTAAAATTTTTAAATTTATTATTTTTATCTTGTGTCTTAAGTTTTTAAACTTAAAATATTGACAGTAAAATGAAGAAAACCTGCTTTCTTAAAAATTATAGAAATTATTTGTGGAAACAATAAAAGAGCACATAATTTGAAAAATAAAAATTTTACCTTGATGAATTAATATGAAATAATATACTCCTCCAGTTCTAAATATAAAACCCTTATACATACCAGTATAAGAGTCTTATATTTAATATCCGAGGAGTAGTAATATAAAAATGTCAACATCAACACCAAGCGTAAAATATAAAATTTGTCCATTACAAGTCGTAAATTTCACAGGGTCAAAAAAAAAAAAAAGTCCTCATGCTCCATCCACAGGCCCAAACAATTTTTTTAACAAGTCCCAAACAATTTTGTTGATGATAATATTGAATTTTTGTGACGTCGGATATGTGTGATGATCTAAAACGGGCCTAGACTGAAGCCCATCTAGAGCGACGACGATAGGAGTCCTGGGGACAAGGGAATTTGGGAAGTGTCGGGAAATCAAGTCGATGATCGGAGAGTTAACAGTATACATAAAAATCCCCAAATTGGATTCCAGCCTCAATGTGATGGTTCTCGTCTAGCTCTGTGACGTTGTCTCTGTGTTGCTTTGAGATTTTGAAATCAGATTAGAAGAAGAAGTGACACGAAAAAGAAAACCAGGAAGGTTAGAATAGGAAGCTCCGAGGCGAACAATAAGAAGAATCGGAACGTTCTCAGAGGCTCATTAATCTCTCTTCAAAATGAAGACCACGAAGGGAGGCAAGGTCATGAACCCCACCGATGCCTATCGCAAGGAGCTTCGTAAGAAGGAATTGAAAAGGGTATTTACTTTTATGAGCTATTCCTTTTCTCCTGGGTTTTCATTCTCGTGCCCGTCTTCTGTTTTTTGGTTGATTATCTCTCGTGTTTAGATTGTCGTGCTTATCCCGAATTGTTTTCCTGGTTTATTCTTCCGAGCAACTGTTCTTTCGATTACCATTTTTCTGCGTGTAGAACAAATTCTCTAAGACTGTCTTCGCTTATGCTTCGTATCTGTACCTATTTTCATTTAAATTTCTCGAGGTTGTCGTGATAATCATCCGAATGGAGTTGTCATTCCCCTGCTTCCTCCATGTGCAGCGAAAGCATAACTTGTCAAATTATTGTGCTTAGTTTCTTGGCATAATTTCGTGCGATCTCCCAATCTCTTTGGTGTAGTTTTTGGAGTTTTCCTGAATAGCAGTAGTGGAATTCAAATTTCTCTGGGCTGTTGGCTTGAGTTAAGTTAATTAGATTTAACCTTTGCTGCATTAAGAAATAGGTGTTCATGGATATTTTCAAGGAAAATAGTTGGCAGTATCATTTCCTTTTCCCTTTTAGAAGTTGGCACTGCTGCTCATTTTACTCCCCTTCTCCCCTCACTTTTTTTAATTTTTTTGGCAATCTTCATTATTATTTGCTTATGAGTGCGAATGAACCAGTAATTGAATGGGTGCCTCTGTTTTGAAAAGGTTGTAGGGTGATCTACTTTTACTTGGTATTTTGCAGCACTGGACTTATTGTCCATGTGAGCATATCCAGCCAAGATTCCTTCACTTGAGTTGTTTTGTGGAGTATGAGGTGAATGTGAAGGTAGCTTTAGGAGGATAAATACTTTGACATATTTAATTTATATATTTGAGTAAAGGACGATTGGTCAGTGGTGGTTAATAGTGTCAGCCAATATATATCAGTCATACCCTAATCCCAATGGCATTTAGAGGTGGTAAAATAGTTGCCTAGTTTTGTTTGGTAACTTGACTTCCTTCTCTTAAAAGAATTCATTTTGCCATGTGGATGGCTATATGCCATTATTAAGTAGGCTGCCAAACCAGTTATTTGAAAATCCATTTAGTTTTTATCCAACTGGTTATTTCAGTAAAATAGAAGCTACTTTGTTTTCTTATATTTCATTTTTCCTTAAAGCAGACATTTTCTTTTATTATTTATTTCATTCACTCTATAACATTTCTTTCTTTAAGATCTGCCCGTTTCTCAGCTCCCCTGTGTCTGTGTTTTTATTTTCTCTTGCTTGTGTTTTAGAAGGATTTAATAAATGATCACTATTCATGTTTTTCGCCCCTTTTTAATTGGCTCTTTCTATTGACCAGAACAAGAAGGAAAGAAAGAAGGTGAGGGAAGTGGGGATTTTGAAGAAGGATCCTGAACAACTTAAAAAGCAGATTGAGAACTTGGAAATGATGAGTAAGTCATACTTTTTCATGGTTTTTCCCATCCTGTGGCTGTGAAATTGAGTTTTCCCCCGTGCAAGTGATGCTTGCCTTGACTTTTAAAG